GATAAGATGGGAATGCAACATTATGAATATCATCATCCACTTCTGATATCTCTTGATTGGTTGTAACATTAATCTGCATATATTAATTCCAACAACAAATGTAATTAGCAAATTCATTTAACAATAACTAAATTGCATCAACAATTTTATGATGAAACTGAAAGTTAGGATGACACAACATACATCTTCATTGTTGCTTTTATTTTCTCCCCAACCATCAATGCCATCTATAGTAATCTCCTTAAGTGCCCTCATGTCAAAATTTGAGGTGGTAGGTGTGAATACATTTCTTAACCTCTTGCATTCTCTTATCACTATGCATTAACACTTTGAAAGCCAAGAATGGGGAGACTAGAGTTGACTACTCCTTTCACCCTCCAAACCTCTCTAAGTTTCCTTAATTCAATTGTTGTAATAGATCTCAAGTTGTTGTTCCCTTGCTCAATTTCGCCAACACATGATCCCAAGTCAATGTTGAATAACACATCAATGGAACCACATTCGGAAACTCTAAGTTGTTCCAGATGATACAACAACGACATTGGATTGCTTGGAAACAAGTTCACAAGACTATCACATTTTTTCACTTGAATCTTTCTCAATTGACTAACCTCGTTACTACTCAAATATTGACTTGGCCATATCTCCTTCAACTTCTTCATCTTCATAATTGTCAAATCCTTCAACTTAGAACTCATAACCTGCATCATAATCAAATAACTACATTCAAATCAAGTAATATTGTGACTTCTATTACTAACTCAATCTACTAGAAAATTGAAGTTTATTACTATAACTTTTACGTTAACTAAAACATATGTACCTCTTTCTTTAGAAAATCTTGATAAATGCTAGTGAAATTTGGAAGGTTATCAAGTTCCAATTCTTCCAGTTGTGGGAACTCAATAACGTTGCCACCCAGCTTGCACAAACTCATTAGCGTTGGTAGATTAATCAAAAATAGAAACTTTAGAGCTGGAAATTTAATGACCTCGACTTCACAATTCTCATCACCTATAAGTGTTTCCAATGCAGGGCACTTGATAATTTTGAGGTGCTCAAGCTGATTCAGACCATTTGCCACATGGACTGTGAAGAGGTATCTCAAATGTGCACACTTACAAATATGAAGGACTTTTAAACTGAAAAATGGGCATCCAAAACGATGCAAGGATTCCCCTAAACAATCTCCAAGATCATTTATACCATCCACTTGTAAATGAAGCACCTTTGTTTTTCCAAACAAATCATTCACCCTAGAATCCAAAAGTTCACATTTGTTGGTCACCAAACATAATGTGTTTTCGAGTGAATCTTTGTTTTGGAGATCATAATCATCTAAAGAGCATCCCAAAGAGATCTGGAACCATTCAAGTTTCCCAAATGACATATTCTTTGGCAAAGCATTATCACCAAAAAACTCAATTTCTATTGCATCAAGGTTTTTTTAACACTCCACTAATTCATCACCATCAGCATGTCGTCTAACCCCACGCATGTAAAGCTCTTCAAGTTTGACCAAACTTTTCAAGACACCATCATGAATACAAAGATTACTACAGCCTGTGAACTCAAGTAACTTTAGCTCCTTCAAATTTCCAATTGTGGATGGTAACTTTTCTATTTTGCAATAGGAAAAATGAAGCAATTCCAAGTTCAAAAGATCACCAACAGGAGAGCAATCAAACATAAATGGGCATTCATGGATACTTAGCATTCGAAGATTACTCGAATATTGTGATATGGGAATCAATGGATACATCATTCTTTCATACACTATTACTTCAAGTTTCTCCATTTCTTGATAAAAGTCTTTAGGAAACGACTTCTCTCCATTCATAAGCTTCAATAACAAGAGGTTTGGATATTTACGATCTCTAGGAAACTCAGACATTCCTGTGCATGTTATTAAAATTCTTTTGCAAAAATCGCTCACAGGTTTTGCAGGCCACTTTGACATATCACCGACAACTGAAGCATGTTCGCCTTCAGAACACATGTCTAAAACAAAAGCACGCACTAGATCGTGCATCTTGACATAACCAACTTTCTCACTTTGAATCAACAAATTTGCATGTATGAGTCGCTCAATGCATGTGTTCAACCTGTTTCTTGCTTTTCTTATAGTATCCACTTTGTTAAACATTCTCAAGCCCTAACCGTACCTTACTAACTCCTCCACAGGAGTATCGAAATCTTCGGGAAACAAACAACACAACAACAAAGTTGATCTAGTCTYTTCATCATGGAGATTTCTGAAGCTTATCTCAAAAACTTGATGCACGGCTTCATCAACATCTTTGTTCTCTATTCTAGAACGTGTATCTTCCCATACATGCTTGCTTTTACCTTTAAGAGTACGAGCTATGGTTTTGATGGCAATGGGYAGACCATGACATCTATTTGCAATATCTTCTCCTATCTCACGGAGCTCAAGATCAAGATCATCATCATCGTAACCCTTTACAAATTGGAGAAAGAAATTATGTGCTTCTGAGTTCTCTATGACTTTCACATTGAGAATTGAACTAAGTTCAACTCCCATCATAGTACAAACACCTCGGTCTCGTGATGTCAATAATACCTTAAAATCGATACCTTGATTTGGCAATGGACTTAACCCGATATCATTCAGATCAACGAACTGCCATACATCATCTAGTAGTATTAGGAACTTCTTCTTACCACCATCAGAACAGGCCTCGAAATTTTTACGAAGCTTAATAGCTCTAGCTGCTGTAGTGGTTTCTTTTAGATCTAAACTCARGAAGTCTGCTATAGCTTGCTGAATTAGAAGCACCTCCATCTTTTCCCCTATAACAGCCTCAATAATAAAATCAAACAACTTCTTTTCAGTTACAACTTTCTTTAGCTTTTGCACCATTACGGTCTTCCCGACTCCCCCCATCCCACATAAAGCTATTATGTGGGTTTTGTTGTCTGGTTCGAGAGCTTTAAGTGCTTCCATAAAAGTCTGCTCTCTTGATTTGAAGTCATTGTGATGACTTGATGGTGTGGAGGTGGAAAGCTTCATGGAATCAACTTTTGCAAGAGGAATTGGATGATCAGTCCAATCAATCCTAGACTTCTCTTTTGTGAGACGRTCGATATCCTGAGTGATCTTAAAGGCTTTCCTTCCTAGCTTATGCCTATCCTTGAGATTGAAGCAACTGCCGACATCACTAGGACTTGTTTCCAGTACTTGTGCTTCAATATTTCCTACTTCTTCCAACCAACCACTGACCTCCATTGGAACCTTAAGGGAATTGCTTTTGTTATGGTTTATGTGGTCTTCAACACCGAGTCTTGTAGCTTTCAACTCTCTCATTTTTGTACCCATATCCCTCACATACTTTTCGTAGAAAATCAAGTAAACGAGGTGTTTCTTAACGGGGAGTACGAGAGACTCAACCAGAGGACCAACAACGGCAGTAACAATCTCCATTGCTCGATATTCTTACTTATGCAAGCTTCTACAGAGAAGCAGACAAAAGGGAACTTTGTGCAATTACGTATTTGAGAAATTCTGGATGGTTGTGCTGCTGCTTGTGATCTTCTCTGCCAACAATTCTGCAGAATAAGAGTATGGAAAGAGGAGAGGCTATAATTGAAGAGATGGTTGCTTTTTCTTTTGTTCTTATATCAATAATGCAAGCTATAATAAACTATAACTTTATCATCATAGCTGAGTTGCCTACTCTTTCGTGATAAAATTCTATCAGCATCATCAATCAAATCATGGTTATGGTTGGGACAAAAATAGTATAATCTATATGATGATTGAGACCCCTCTATGTATTTAAACATAATAGATGTTTTACAATCTATAACTTTAAAGTTTGTATTTCGTACTTGTCTACGATGTCCATCCACTTCAACAGAGTCAACCGACCTCTTTTTTGGTTTTCCATGCTTATGACAAACAACATATTTTAGTTTGATTATACCACCCTTCCTTATGTTCTGGGTTGATAGTCGAATATCAACCCGACAATGTCGGCATACCTTCGATACATTTCAATTCCATCCTCCAAAGATGCAAAGATTGATCCAACAACCGGTTGAAATTCACTTGGAATAGATGGGATACGAACTCCATCACCGCAAGGACTTTCAATCACTCCTTGAGCTGGTAACACGAAATGATCTGTGAAACAATTACCATTATGTTATAAATAAAGAAAACAATATACATATAAACCAAATTAACAAAGTCTCATATGTCATAATAAAACTAAACAAAATTACTATTACATTAAATTCAAAACAAAATCAACCTCATCAAGGCGCGTTACAGTAACATACAATTGTAGCTATGGGATGTTTATCACATGTGATAAACATCCAAAATTCTCACTTACATAGATATCACTATTATAATCATTGATTTGGTGTTACAAGTTGAAGGTGAAATTAACCATCTTGATTACAATATAGCTGTCATTTTTCACTTGTTGATTTACATTATTTACTAGCATCAATCATATGTCTATTAGACTGCAAAATTCTACATTTGCATTTGCATTTTCCTATCATATGAAATCGACTCTTCATCACTAGCTACACACCAATTTAAGAGATTCACAAGTAGTTTGAGTTGAGATTTGCTCGCAACTAACTTGCTATTGATCAAATAATATATATCAATCATATTTATCACACCATTATCACAGCTCCTATGATCACTGGTAAGTCGATGGCATCAAGATTTTGGGTGTCAAAAGCAGTTTTTGCTGTATCATTTACATAATTTAATTTAATGAAAAACGAACCAAACAGTATCCACATACATATACACATCCGGTTTATCACATGTGATAAAACATCAAACTTTTCAATTTAAAAAGTACAATAAATCTATGAGCGGACTAAAAATATGGGATGTTTATCACATGTGATAAACATCAAAATTTTCAATTACAAAAGTCGAATAACATTAAACTCAAATCAACATATACCAATAACAATAAATGAACAAAAAATGTTTACATTCACAAGTCCGTCTACTTTTTATCACATGTGATAAAAACCCCAAAAAACCATTCATGAAAATTGATGACATATTTTAATGTTATCACATCGTACCTTCCTCATTGTTATCAGAACTGCTTTTAAAAAAGTTGTCTTCAAGAAAACAATCTTGAGAAAAGCCCCAGGAATCGTCGTTCGAATAACTTGATGCTGAACAAACTTTCTTACCAACAACATTCAAGTCGTCCATTTTAGATAGACAAAAATATGGATACTATCGATATGAAGAAAATAAAATGTTAACCCATCGACTATCTGCAGATTATGATGAACGAGATGAAGCATGAACGAGAAGGAGAATAAGCATGACCGAAGGAGAAGAAGAAAACTAACAAACGTGGAAACGTGAAAGGATAAACATGGTTAATTAAAATAAAATAAAAATTATAAAAATTACTTAATTACATTACTGCCCTTATTAAATTATTTATATATAATAAAAGTTAATTTATTAATTAAAAAAGTTTGAGGTTATTGGGTTGTCCTCACGTTCTC